TCATTGCTATTAAATATGTATTTTAAGTCATTTCAAAGACTATTGTTCGTTGGGTCTATTTTTCTTGCCAGAAACAATTATCCAATTACTCGATTAATCATCAGAATAATCGACCGACTACTTGAATACCAAAATAATTGTTAGTGACAGCCCATTTAGAAGATGCTGGCTTTAAAGTGAAACAAAACAAACTGACATATTTCATTTCTGTGAATCAGTTCTAACTGTCCTTTTTCAGACAATAAATTCAAAACTCTAATTCAACAATCTGGTTGTTTCATTGCTCAACAATGCTGAATTTTCTTAAATGGCTCTGATGATACGTATCTTAAATATCAGCCTGTTTTTAATTATAGTTCATACCGGTCACTTTAGAAGTGACCATTTTTAAAAACAATGACAGATCGTCGATCAGATCACGTCTTAAGATCAGGAAAAAAAAAACATTTGGCTAGGAGGAGAGAGAGGTATGAAGAGGCCTCTATGAGAAGGAAGTCTGGCTTGAGATTTGAATCTGTGACTTCACTAAACTACAAGAGAATGCTTGTGCAGTGATGTCATAAAGGCAAGCGAGAGCCACTGTTTACAGTGGAACAACCCTCTACAGTCAGTCTCTACCCAACTCACACAAAGCTCGAACAGAACCACCTCTAAAAACATGTAAAAACAGATATATGTTGATTCAAGTCCAGTAATGAATATGTAGAAACACCGCAGAGAAGTTAAAACAACTTATAATAAGGCACTGAGAACTATTTACACGAACTGACGTTGAATCACTCTAACTTTCCATGACAGTGTGTGTGTGTGTGTGTGTGTGTGGGAGTGTGTGTGCGCGAGCGAGCACCTCTCTCACAGAGCTGTTGTAATTGTTACTCACTCTACTGAAAGGATCCTTTATTGAGTGAGTCTGAGCTACTTCCTCAACCTCCTTCTCTCTCGCTCCCTCTTTAGCCTTTAACCCTTACTGACCCATAACACTTTCTGGAGTTATTCATTTTATGCAAATCGTACTCACCATGTTATACTTGTTGCATTTATTCACACAAACACATATAGATACAACAGATACCAAACTGTTTTTTGCTTCATCTCTGTATGTTTATGCTGTTTTTCATTATAGGGCTGTGCTAAAATAATCAATATGGAGCCATTCTTTTTATCACCGATAAATTACATCAATTTCATATCATTTTCATTCATAACCTTTTCTACAATTTTGCAATTCAGTTTCAAGCAGTTTCTCCAAACTAAGCTTTAACTCTGAAAATGACGTTTCTAAGCGTGTGAGAGAGACTTAAACTGATACCTCGCCAACATGCCGAGTCTTTTTCTCATGCTGTTGACGCAGGTTCATTCGCAATGTTTTGAATCGTGGTACGTACTGTGTTGTGTTTCATAACATTTTCTACAACTTTTCCATCTCTTATATGCAAACACTTATCATTACCTACCGTACCTTTCTCCTGATGTTCTCTCTCGCTTTGGCCACCTCTCAGAGTTCAAACAGTGGCTGTTCATCGCAGGTAGGCTGCTTGGGGTCGGAAGGGTTGGGTCTGTCTGTCTGTCATTAACCAGACGTTATAATGACCTAAATGCCCTACAATGAATAAACCCTCAAAGGAACTGATTTGTGTAGCCACATCCTTCTGTTGTCTGTTTCCCTGATGAGTTCTATTGATTTGAGCATGATTACATAATTTTGCAAAAGTCTCAATGACAAAGCTGGTTTAATTCTGCAAACAGAAACCATGCTACTTTAGCAATTTGTGTCTTAATTACACTGTAAAAATTATTTTTCGAAGTCTTTCCACTTCATTATGTGAGATTTTCCTAGTAGTTCTCTGCCACTAGGTGGGGCTTTTGAAATTGAAAAATAGTGGTTTCCCCAATTACGACTGTACACAAAGCAGCACTGCGCTAATAAATGCTGCTTTGTCAGGCATTACAGGAAAGATGAAATGAAAATGCCATTAAAACTTTTCTGAAGACAGTCGGTCCCCTTCAGAGATACAGTCATATAAAAACACCCACGCCGCGATTTGACTTTGGAACGTGCAGCTCATATTTATTTAATGAAATCATAATCTTAATCGTCATATTAAGCCATATCACGATTCTTGTCTTTCTGTCCCCAAATGTAAGACCTCTTGAAATTATAATTAAGACTTTTCTTATACCATTTAAGGTATTTAAGTCTTTTTATGGTCTTAAATTTGCTACAACTAAATTAAAGATTTTTTAAGGACCCGCGGGAACCCTGTATTTAAGATAGCCCGTCGGGCAGGGCGGTGATACATTTTGGTAGCACGACTGAAAGATACAATAGCCCCAGGACGTCGATAACAATCCCAATAGACGTCATAAATAGCTATACAACTTTTTTTTTTTTTTTACATCAAATATCCTGTTTCACTCAAAAATGTCACATTACAAAAGTAAAATGGGTCACAAATGCCATTTCATGTCTACAGGACATATCAAAACAATATTACTACCACTCATAACAAGATGCTGATTAGATTTCAGTCTAATTTCATTCAACATGTAGGTTTATCAAGCACCTCAATTCTTTTTTACATCATTTAAACTTCTGAAAGTGCTGAGCAATGCTACTCAAGTGTGTGGACAACAGTCATTCGGGAGGTCTTTCCTTGACATTCCTCCCATACTAATTCACCCCTACGCATAGAGGACACAATACCACATGACACCACACAAAGTGACACAGTCCTGTCAGGGAGTATTGAGTTCTCCTTCACATCTCAGTCTCACAGTTGATCAAAGCGAAATCTTTTAAAGGAGTATATCTGATGTAGCACCTACAGGCGAAAGGCTTCCGCAACATTTCGTTGCTTTGAAACAGTGAGAGCTCTCCACAAAAAAAAGCCCATTCATTAAAATGCCCACCCACATGATGTGTATGCACACACACACACACACACACACACATAAACACTCCCATTGTTTGACAACGCTACCCCCCAACTGAATGCCCCTCAGCTGGAGACCACACAATGATTCAAAGTTTCACCTCGTGGACATTTCATCCTAAAACTGAACATGCTGTTCCGGGAGACCAAAAATAGGCACCTAAACCCAAAGTAGAAAAACGTCATGCAGCTTCTGCATTAATTTTAAAGCTAGCAATGAATTATCATTATCACTCCTTTACAAATCCATATAAAATTATTTCCTGTGAGGTCTGGCTGTTTAAAGTTTTCAAAGATGACCTTAAAAACCTTCTAAAGCTAGCTTAGATAATCAATGCCTGACTTATAGTGCTATAACATAACACTTTGTACCCTGTTCTGTTCCTGTTTGCGTAGTGTGAGAAAAACCTTTCTTCCTGTAGAGACGTCAAGAGATGCATCGTCATCATCAGGGTCGACTCACGTTTCTGGCCTTAATAATCAACAATATGTGGCACTGCTCTTTTAATACCTAAAGTTACCAAGGGAGCCTTTCTGATGGCCAGATTTACATTTTAGTGCTACTCAATGGCAGAAACAGAAGGAAAACTGAATGTGCACACTGTAAGGGCCGATCGCATCAGCCCTCAGTGTACCTTACATCAAACAGAGTCCCTGCAATGTCAGAGAGTCGGCATCTCTTGAGTTTGACAGCCAGATCCGTTGTTTGGCCAAAGCAAGTTTGACTAACACACTGGGACACAATGGTACAGTTTGGCGCTGATAGAAGGAGTTCTTATTTGTTTTGATGTTTCAATATCTTAATACACAATGAGGGCTGTAATTTATTGTTTTTAAGCTGATTTCCCACGTCCTCAGATTCAAACCACCGACCTTCTGGATACTTGTGAGCACTAGCAGCACTACCACTACCCACGGGGTTTAATAATCTCAATTTATTAGACCTTACATCATAGTGCAAAGCTTGAAATGTCATTCTACAATCATGCAATGAGTATTATAAAGAATCTATGACAGTATCCTTCTGGCCAGAAAGATTCTAATGTTGGAGTTTCGGTTTGAGCATTCGTTTTGAGACATTTTCAGTTGTGCAAACAGGGAAGTAACTGTTTTCGAAGTCTCCCTGATCACACTTCCTGATCAGTCTGAACAGCAATGTAGCCCATCAGATAGAATATCTTTACACTACTGCCCTTCCTGATTGAAGTGGAAGTGGAATTTTGATGGGGTTATTGCTGAGAGAGCAAAAAGTGATCCAAGACATTTAATAACACTGTCCTTCTGGATTTTCTTGGGTCAATCTATTTGCAAAAGCAACAATGAGATCAATTGACCTTCTTTAATCTTTGACAAACACTTGTTATTACATATTTACTCATTAAAACAAATTAGTATCAATTTGTATGTTACTAGTAGGCCTGCTTGTTTTTTTTAAGAACTTTACTATCAAGAAAATTTTTAAAAAAAAGAAATGACTAGTATTTCACTATTCATTAGATTTCAGTACTCAGTCGACATTACTTTGCAACTAGACAGAATCTCAATAGTGACAAGTACTTATTTAATTGATACTAGTAACAAATGGCAATTTTTTAAAATTGAATTCTATTGGGAACTGTGGTTCATACATTAACTATTCACTTCAGACTAGTCATGTATTTCAATTGTTGCTGGTGGCTATTAGAGTTTACTACCAAAGAAACATTAAGTACTAGTAAGTATTATTTTGTTTATTGTTACTACTCAAACTGTTACTAGAATCTAGAATATTGCAATCTGTTACCAGTAACATTGGAATAGTAACCTATTAGCATAGTGGCTAGTAACAAAGGTGTAAGTAATACTAACTTAAGTAGGCCTATTAGTGTCTAACGTAAAGAATAAGTACGATAATCTCAGTAATATGCCAGTCATATTGAAACAGTAATTTTATTTTCATTTTTGGATTACGTTTTAGTACATAAATATGAAAATAGATACTAGTTCGTTTCAAAGAACATTACAACATTTTATCATAAACACCAATAACGTTACGTTAAACCTTTTGCAGAATGAGTAAATTCTTACCATGTCAACTGGGAAATTGCCCGTCATCTTTGAAATAGGTTCTGTCGTATCCTCACTTTAGATTAAAAGTTGTTTTTCTTCCTTCAGTTTGCTTTAGAAACAGCAGGTGGCTTGTGGTAAAGCAGTTGCTCATGCAGAGATCACTAGTCTGGTTATTCCTGTAGGCTCGCTGGTAGAGGTAACGTTAGTTAAGCGCAGGCAGGAATGGGTTGTTCTTCTTCAGACAGGCTTCTGACTTCTTGCTTTTTCATGGCATAAGCTTCAAAACGGAGAAAATACTAATTTCTGGATTTTATATTTATGTGGGAGGACTCCCTCCCATCCTGAAATAAAAAAGGATATATATTAGGAAAAATGTGCCTACGCCATAGGAAAACAAAATACTACAATTCAGCCATTGGTATTTGCAAATATACCGAGAAATGAGTTCCTCGCGAGTCCGCAATAAAAAATAGACCGTCGCCTGGTCGAAAAGAAATGCTGTAATTCGACGGGGTTTTTTTTCAGTATTATATCCGTCTTCGTCTACGCTCGCTCTCTGCTGTCATCCTGCCTAAAAAAAAACATGGCGGCAGTTGACGGGGGGAAAGGCTGAACGTGGAGAAACCAGAGCTGGTGAGGCAGATATAAACTGCGCGATGTCGATCGCTATATGTGTGTGCGCGGATGAATACGCCCGCCAGCAGTTAAAGGAAGAGGCGGAGAGAGAGAGTCAAGCCCACAAATCCATGCGCGCCCAGATACGTTTCAGTATATAAATGAATTACACCATCAGCATAATATTGTTTTGTGTTCAGGTTTATTGTTATTCAGTTATTTACCACACATAGGCTAGTTCTCACCAGTAGTTTACCTGTGGGTTTTGTACTAAGACCATAGTGACCACAAGTAAAATCACGTGCGGCTCTTCATTTGTTAGATCTGTGTAATTGTGGTTTATACCTTGCTGGGAAAAAAAGCCTAACATGGTTTGCTGGTTTAAGCTGGTCTAAGCTTGTCTCACAAGTCTTGCCAAGCTGTTACTGGTTTAGCGGGCCGGCAAACTGGTACCCCATCCTAACCAGCTGAAAAGCTCTCAACATCCTTATAAAACCAGCCGACAGACCAGCATAAGATGGCTGAAGCTATCTGTTTTTCAGCAATTTGTTAGGAATAGCCAAGAGGTCTTGTACAACTTTAAACAGGTTTATTTTGAAATAATGACTGTCCTACTGTGCACTGTCCCTAATTAATATATAATGTATTCACTTATCATCATTACTGTTATTTTTTATTTATTTTTATGGCTGCTGTTTTTGCTTACACTGCGTGTACTCCAGTTATTATTTCATTGTTCTCCTTTCTTTTGTTTTTACTTCATGTAGAATGCTGTCCATGTGTAAATTGCATCATAATGATGGATCTACTATTGCAACTGTCCTGCTTGGAAGTAACTTTGTTCTGATTCTTTTGTGGCATGGACCTTTTTATTAAAACAATAAAAAGAATACAAATTTGGTGATATATTTATATACCTAATGATATTAATGAATTATATCTGTAATTGTCTGATACAATCAGTTCATGTGGAGCAAATCAAAATAAAGCAAGGAAAAAAATTAATATGAAATTGCGATCAGAATATTCCTGAAAACTATTAGAAATCATTTCTGTCAAAATTTCTCCATAGATATTTTGTTTCAGTTATTGACATTTTCAAAACGAGCAAGTACATTTTCATCTTTGGTCTCATCTTTGCAATATTCTAATGTAATCTGACAGGCACTTTTGCAAGTGCTTATATCTATTTCATGAATAAATTTACATAGAAAGCTGTGAGTTTGTTGTGTGTAGCCCTGTCTTGAAAGCATGAGGTCTATATCTGTGCTGTTGATTCTACCTCTATTGTCTTGCGCAGTGTTGCGCAGAATTCATCCTGACGTGGGGTGTCAGACCCACAGATACTCAAGAGGATTAAGTCTTTAATCTGTCACTGATTCTTCTGTGCTGCCTCCAAAAACACTTTTGTTCTCCTGTGTGCCATTTCAGTCTCCTGTCAGAACAAAATACAGCCACCAATTTCATCAAAACCACACAACTGTAAATAAATGGGGTTTTAAACGTGTGTATGTGTGTGTGTATGGGGCTGTCGGGTAGGCCAAGATCGTAATCTGTTTGTGACGGTGTTGACGTTCAGACAAACATGTAACTACTTCCTTTGTTTGATTGCGAACGTTAATCTGTGTAATAGTGTGTTTACAGAGAAGCCATTGAGTACAAACTCAGACGGGGCTGACACACACACACACACACACACACACAAAAGGAAAATAATTACTGTGGATTATATGTGTCAAGGTCCTGGGATTGAATGACATAGGAAGCCCTCTCCATTGCAGACCTAAGAGCATGTAGGTAGAGCTAAAGTGAGATTAGGTCCAGAATAAGCACAGAGTGACAGCTTTAGTGCTGTGGAACCAGACCAGAGGGTTTTACATGACTGCCTTTGACAAACAAAGACTCAGGAGATCTCAGTTATGCTTTAAATAGAAGTTCTGTCTCAGATGTTTCTCCTAATTAATTGTATACAGTAAGAGAGTATAGAGGTATATGTTTAATGCAGAGAGTAACTCACATAAATTGATCTTTGTAAGATTTTGAAAGAGAAACATTTAGGTTCATATTGAAATGTTTGAATTTTTATCATATACATTTGGTACTTTTCCTAAACTGATCACAATTTGAGATGTTGAGATGTTCTGAAAGGAAAAGCTTGTTTGTTATTTTTATTTCTTACAGGAAAGCATATTCTTGACATACTTTTTTATATACATATATATATATATATATATATATATATATATATATATATAAAAAAATATGTCAAGAATATATTTTCGTGTGATATATATATACACTACCATTCAAAAGTTTGAGGTCTGTAAGATGTTTTAATGTTAAGTCTTGTATGCTCATCAAAGCTGCATTTCTTCAATCAAAAATACAGTAAAATCGGTATTACAACTTAAAATTGCTGTTTTCTATTTTAAAATATTTTAAAATGTAATTTATTCCTGTGATGGCAAAGCTGAATTTTTCTTCAGTGCCACACGATCCTTCAGAAATCATTTTGATATGCTGATTTGCTGCTCAAGAATTATTTCTTATTACTATGAATGTTTTGAGCAGTACTATATATTTATACAAGTATGTCAAGTGTTGGACAGGGAAAATTCCTAAACATTGTATTTGCACTGGTGTTTCTGGTTGATTATTAACATTGTAAAAGTTGGCTTTTAAACTGCTTTGAACATTGATCCTTGCCTCAGTATTTATGATGAAGAAAACATGATAATCATGTAAACAGTTTCTTCTTCCGTTTGAGATTTACAGTAAGTAGTGAGGAACTAATTTAGATCTAATTTATGTATTTAGAGAGGTGTGCGCTTGTGTGTGTGTGTGTGTGTGTGTCTGTGTGTGTGTCTGTGAAACTGTGGATAGTCTCGCATTACATTATTTCTAAACATAAACCTGTTTATGCCTCACTCATCACATGTCTGAACCATTCCATTAAGCTTTTGACTGTGCCAGTTTGGTCTGTGTCTGAATGATCATTTGAAGAACAGGTATCACAGCTTTTACTGTGTGTGACTATTGCCCAAATTGCCATGGCAGCCACCATTTTCTGTTTTTCTTTCCAACTCGGAGCAAAACCTTCTGGGATACTACCTAAACATTTCCACTGTTTCAGTTGCAGCTTTGAAACTGGCCATTCATAATGCTCCTTAAAGGAATAATTCATCTGAAAATGCAAGTTCTGTCATCATTTACCCACCCTCACGTCATTCCAAACCCGTATGACTTACTTTCTTCTGTGGAACACAAAAAGAGAAGTTTAGAAAAATGTTCATGCTGCTCATTTCCATAAATGAAAGGAAATGTGGATGGACTCTGTCAAGATACAAAAATAAGAGCATAAAGGAGCATTGGAATACGGAGTAAGAATCATATAAGCAACTCTTATAGTACTTTTATAGTGTTTTTTTGTCTTTTAAAGAGCCCATTCACAACCAATTATCCTGAGAAGAACAGCAGCTCAGAAATTCTGCTGAACTTTTGTGTTCCACAGAAGAAAAAGCATTATAGGACATACATACTGTATATGGTGACTAAATGATGACAAACACACAAAAAGACTAATAATGAGTTTCATTTGGCACTATTTTGGCATTTCGGTTCATTAGTTTATACTACATTGTCTTTTAAAAGAGTCTGTGAGTCAAGGAGCTTTTCTACTTCACTGAATCTTGGTTTTTAACCATTCCTGAATTCATTTTAGGCTCCATAACTTGTCTTTTACTGTAAAGCCTGTGTAAAGTCCAGCCAGACACAAGATTAGAGTATACCAGGCCGGGTGTGACTGTAATTACCTTAACACAACAACGGCGATAAATACACTGTATTATAAAGGGTGGAGACACACAGTGACGTGTATGTTTCATCTGTTTGAAACATAGCCTTACTTGAGGGCTCATGTTTACATTTTCCCATGGAATCCTCAATGGCTTTAATGTCTTGAAAACAATCTCCTCTCACAAGCGATCAACCTTTTACCTTTATCCAGAAATATTCCTCAACTCAACAGATGTTACATTTTCCATCAGCTGTGACATCATCAGCTGACATCACGTGGGCAGCCCTGTCTAATACCACTTAAACCCACCTTATTTGTGGGGGGGGGTGGAACACATCATCATCCTGTACAGCTATAGGGGTTGGTGTGACGGAGCACTTTGACATCCCATTTTGTGTTCCTTCAACATTAGTGATGGTGACGGGAAGCTGCAAATAACCAGACCACCTCGCAGGACCTCAATTAGCATTGGCGTAATGCGAATCCTCTCGCAGATCTAATATCAACCATTATCTTAATGAGGCCTCTAGTCACATGTGGCCACAAACAGGCGAGGAGGATTACCTAGATTTCAACAAGGGGTTGAAGCTCTTCTTGTAAATTGACCTGAGACAAACAAGTCAGGATTAGGATGCAGGTTGGGAAGCAGGTCCTATTGAAAGAATTACACAAACTCAAATTATTTGGAACATTAATAAGGCAGATGGCACACGGACATCATGCGTTCAACACAAAGACAGGCCTAGAGGCTTTGGAGTATTTTACTGCTTCAGGGTTATTATAGGGCTGGAACAAAAATTAAAACCATGAAAAAAAATGTTACTTGAAATAAAATGAATGTTGATTGAAATAAAAATAAAATGTGGAAAAATTATTTTATTTCAGCTAGTTACCAAAACAACATTTCCCATTTTCATTTAGTTTAACTTGATGTACTAACATGACTTAAACTGAAACTGAAAAATAAATAAATAAAAAACTATATAGATGTATCTTTAAAAACGAATAAAAATGACAAATCACAAAATGTTAGTAGTTGTGTTGTGTGTTTTTGTCCATTTTAATATTATTTTTAAAATATCAAAATTTAAAAACTATTATCATTGATACTAAAATAACCCTGGTGTCCATGATACTGATATAAACAAGGCCTCCGACTGCCGTTCAATAATATGATTATATGATTTGTTTGACATTTGTATGTACTTTTATTCCATTAATAGTTGCATGACTGAAGGTTTGACTCTGAACTTGGCAGTTCAGTACGTTTACTGGAAGCGTTTAATATTACTATTTGTGATTCAAGCATATGTTCTGAATTCTCTACATCCATATTTAGGGGTTGAAATGTTACCCGGAGCTCACAGTGTACTGTTTATGTCTGTTGGGCGTGCCGCGTGGGGTGCTATATCATCGAGAAGAATGTCTGGCTTACTGTTTGTTAACAAACAATGTTGATTAGGTCTGATGTTGTCTTCAGGGATATCCTGTATCTCACTACCAATGTCAGAGCACAGCAGTCTGGCAGAGCTGAGCATGCTGGGTTGGAGAGGGAGACCCTAGCGATTAGAATTTTGGCTCCGTCACTGATTATGGCCGGCAGCCCAAGAACGGCAGTTCCATCTGGTGATGTAGGAAAAGAGCAGCAAGAAAACCTAGTGAGCCTACATATTTGTATAACAATTGTAATATATACATACATACATATATAATAAATATATAGTTGTAATATAACCATATTTAATATTAATATATATTAATAATAATTAATATTTAATATTTGATGTACTATTTACATTAATTTAATACAGTAAATATAAATGCTACATATGATTGATATTCCTTTATTAAATAATACATATTAATATTAGCAAAGTCCCTTTAAGGGTATTCTATAGTCTTTGATATTAGTAACAGTACATACAACGGAATAAATGTATGTACGTTGTATGTACTGTATATATATATTTGATTCATATATCATATATATACTTATATTACATACATATAAAATTTTTACA